CACAACCCGGGCATGTGCCCTTACTGAGAATTGAACTGTGACCTCCTGGTTCAGAGGTTGACGCTCAACCACTGAGCCACGCTGACCAAGCTCAGGTTCTACATTGAAATTCACATGTCGTGGTCGAACACGTCATCCGTGGAGACATATCCGTGAGCCACCACACTGGCCTGGTCTGGTACCGTGTTTCCTGATGTTGTAAGAAGATTACTTGCAACCTGTTCCGCACATTTTGAACCTCTGATCTGAAGGAGACTCTACAGCACTTTGTAGAGACACATGGATTATTATTCATGCAAATGTGGGTTTTATCGTGTTAAATGCAGCAGGAAATGACTCCTGTGTGAACGAGATGAAATCTTTGTGTCACTCTCGCCAAGGGGTGTGAGTGTCTGCAGCTTAGGGCTTGTGCCACCAAACGGTGAGCCTAGGAAGGGAATAAATAAATCATTAGGAAAATTTTCACAGTTTTGCTTATGAGAACTTTAAACAAAATATTTCCAGTCCTGGCTGGTTTGGCTCTGTGGATAGAGCGTCGGCCTGTGGACTGAAGGGTCCCAGGTTCGATTCCTGGTCAAGGACACTTGTCTAGGTTGCGGGCTCGATCCCCAGTCGGGGCCGTACAGGAGGCAGCCGATCAATGATTCTCTCTCATCATGGGTGTTTCTCTCTCAATCTCCCCCTCTCCCTTCCTCTCTGAAATCAATAAAAAATAAAATAATAGAAAAAGAATGCATAAAAAATATTTCCATGTTGGCTTTGAGTAATGTTAGGTACAGACTATTTATAAGAGTTTATTCGAACCCAACGGACGATGCATGTTGGGGAGCAAGACCTCAAATGCAGCTTCATGGAGGCGTTTGAAATGAAACAAAACAAAGGTTACATTTTCTTTTTAAAAAATATATTTTAATGATTTTTTTACAGAGAGGAAGGGAGAGGGATAGAGAGTCAGAAACATCGATGAGAGAGAAACATCGATCAGCTGCCTCCTGCACGCCTCCTACTGGGGATGTGCCCGCAACCCAGGTACATGCCCTTGAGAGGAATCAAACCTGGGACCTTTCCGTCCGCAGCCCGATGCTCTATCCACTGAGCCACACTGGTTAGGGTGAACGTTACATTTTCAATCACTGTGACTATCTTCACTGGAACTTCGTTGCTTTGCCCCGTAGGAGGAAAAGGCATGTCCGGTTGGGAAGGCGGGATTCGAGTGCCCGGACTTGCTCTATCCACTGAGCCACACCGGTTAGGGCAAACGTTACATCTTCAAACACTCTTATCACTGTGACGATCTTCACTGGGATTTCATTGCTTTGCCCCGTAGGAGGGAAAGGCATGTCCGGTTGGGAAGGCGGGATCCGCGTGCCCGGACTGGTCCGATGGCCCGGAAAATTGCCCGCCGGAAACGTCATTAATGAACCTACCAGCTTGATGGACATCTTGCCAACGGTAGCAGCATTGACCGGAGGCATCGTCCCTCAGGACAGGTGATGTCATGTAATCTGTTCACGGAGCTTCTCTCTACCTTTGTCTCCAAAAGATTCAGGTCCAAGGAAAACTCTATCATCCTAATGGGGACACTTTCTCCACGGTACCCCGGTAATTTCCGCCTTTGTCTCAGGCTAAGTCTATTGGCCGTTACTCATACGCTGGTCATCAATGTTGTAGTTCTACTAGAGGCCCGGTGCAAGGGCCTAAGCCAGCAGTCGGACATCCCTCTCACAATCCGGGACTGCTGGCTCCCACCTGTGCACCTGCCTGCCTGCCTGCCTGATTGCCCCTAACCACTCGCTTGCCAGTCCAATGGACATATAACTGCCCTCCCCTGCTGGCCTGATCACCCCTAACTGCCCTCCCCTGTTGGCCTGATCACCCCCAACTGCCCTCCCCTGTTGGCCCGATCGCCCCCAACTGCCCTCCCCTGCAGGCCTGATTGCCCCCAACTTCCTC